TAGTTGCAAATCCAACTCTGGACAAATTTTGCTCGTTTCAAATGCCAGTACCCGGTATTAATAGGAAGCGGAAAGGAGCCGTCGAGTCACTAAAATCGGCTCAAAAAAATAAGCCAACTCCTGTCAATACAACCCAGGGACAACGAACTGCGTCCTCCTCTCCGCCAGCGCTTCAAAATAATAGATTTGCAGCCCTTTCGGAAGAAGCTGATTCCATTATGGAAATGGAAGAGCCAGATTCCGAAGATCCATCGAGCCAGCAAAATGAAGCCAGCCGTTTCCAGCAGGGAAGTAGTATTCCTAAGCCTCCTGCTATATGTGTGCCACAAGTCAACAAATTGGATAAACTGGAGGTGGCGCTCAATTCTGCTGTCTCCCCTAACGATTACGACATACGCACATCGAAATCTGGGATCTCGCGTATTTATACGAAGAATTCGAATGCGTTTCGTGCAATAATCAAATTATTGTCCAATCAAAATTGTCAATTCTGGCACCACCAGTTGAAGGAGAACAAACCCTGCAGATTGGTGCTCAGAGATATTCATCCCAATGTACCCAGGCAATTAATAGAGCGCACCTTTACCGACAAGGGCTTTACAGTTTTGAATATATATTGCCCCAGAAAACCGGACTGGCGTAACATTCAAATTAATGAGGAGGATGGTGAAGACATAAATAATGTCAAAACAAGACAAAATATGTTTTACGTTAACCTCCAGAACGCACCCAACGTTGCTGAGGCACTAAAAATAACTCAAATTGGTAGACACAGGGTTACAATATCAAAGGCCAAACAGAGTAAAGAGCTGGTACAATGCTTCAGATGCCAAGATTTCGGGCACACGAGGAACTATTGCCTTAAAAAGCCGGTTTGCGGTAAATGCTCGGGGGACCATGATACTGGCTCAAAATCATGTAACCTGAATGATAATGGGGAATTTATATGCGCTAATTGCGGCGAAGACCACATGTCGAGCTTCAGAGGCTGCAAGGTAAGAATTGATCTAGCCAAAAAACTTAAGCCAGCTGTGAGGTTGCCGAAAGATGGACTAGTTATCGGTAGCAATAGGAGTTACCCAAATAACCAAGGCACTAAAGTACAGTTTATCTCAAACTCTACTGTTAAGAGTGGCTTCTCTTATGCTGATGCAGCTAGGCCAATTGGAGAAAAACGTACCAGCGCGCCAACAAACCAAAACTCGCCCCGATCACACAGTTCCGCCGAAGATTGGCATCTAAACAACAAATTTAGTATGCTGGAAAAGGCGATTTTAGATCTAAACGCAAGAATGGATCAAATGTATAAGCTCATACAGGAAAATATGGATTCCAATAGAGCCTTCCGTGACTTGGTACAAAAACTAATATCCAAATGTTAAATCCGCTGTTAAAAATCGGATTATGGAACGCACGGGGCCTGGTCAAAAACAATGATGAACTCAGGCTTTTCCTAAGTTCAAACTCGATCGATATCATGTTAATAACCGAAACGCATATGCGTCCTGGCTTGAACGCATATTTGCCAGGATACGACCAGTACTACGCTAATCATCCTAGTGGCACCGCTAAAAGTGGTTCTGCAGTCATCATTAGATCAAGTATCGCTCATTCACAGAATGAGCCAATTCTAAAAACAAGCATCCAAGCGGCCAGCGTAACTATACCGACGAATGGTGGAAGCATCAAAGTCTCCTCCCTATATCTTCCTCCCAATGAAGCTTGGTGCAGGGCCGACTTTGATCTATTGCTTGCAACCTTAGGAGATAAGTGTATTGTAGGCGGTGATTTTAATGCAAAACACCAATGGTGGGGTAATTCCAGATCTTGCAGGCGAGGAAGGTGTTTGCAAGAGGCCATAGCTAGTACTACTTGCCAAGTTCTTGCTACTGGAGAGCCAACTTTCTACTCTTACAACACACGGCTTAACCCCTCTGCACTAGACTTCTTTATTGTCAACAGGATTGCCCTAAACAGACTCACCGTTGAAACAAAATATGAGCTCGCATCGGATCACCTTCCAGTAGTAGCGACGCTACATCATGCACCGCAATATAATCCCAAGAGGGAATATATTCTACCACCTGGCTCCCGTATTGATGTTTTTAAAGCCGATCTCGAAAGAAGAATTAACCTGAACGTCGAAATTAACAGCCCAGAGGATATCGAAGACGCGATATCAATCCTCATGAAGAACATTTCACTGGCTGCGTCTTCTGCTGCACCGAAAACTTTACGCTTGCCAACCCAACATAGTCAAGCTAGTCTACCACCAACGGCTGCTGCGCTCTTAAGCCTGAAAAGAAGAGTCAGGAAAGAATATGCAAGAACTGGAGATACTCGCATTCATCAAATCTACAAAAGACTGTCCAATCGACTGCAAAAAGAGCTTGCTAAAATCAGACAAGGCAGAATTGATGACATATTGGAAAGTGCTGGTCCAGATGCATCATTTAATTACTCGCTCTGGAAGCTTACGAGGCGATTTAAGAGGCTGGTCATCCCTAAGACTCCAATTAAGGATCCTACAGGTGGATGGAGCTACTCCAGTCAGCAGAAAGCTGAAATCTTTGCAAACAGCCTAGAGGAAAGATTTAAGCCTTTTGACTTTACAACAGCAGATAGGCGAAGGGTAGTCGAGCTTAGGCTGGAGATGCCATTCCAAATGGCCTTGCCTGCAAGCCCAGTTACACTTCAAGAAGTGGTACAGCAGATAAAAAATCTAAAGGTAAAAAAAGCGCCTGGAGAAGACCTTTTAGACAACAGGACGCTGAAACTGCTCCCCACAAGGGCTCTGCTGTATATTGTCTTGCTCATGAATAACATACTCAGGCTGAGGCACTTTCCAAACTGCTGGAAAATGGCGCTAATTACGATGATTCCAAAGCCAGAGAAACAGCATACTGAAGTAGATGGATATAGGCCGATTAGTCTGCTACCTGCCCTCGGGAAGATGATGGAACGCGTGATTCTGGACCGGATTCTCCAGCTCGAAGCCGTGACGCGCAGAATTCCAAAATGGCAATTTGGTTTTCGAAGAAGTCACGGAACACCGGAACAGCTCCACCGTGTGGTCAACTTCGCCCTGGAAGCCATGGAGCAAAAGATGTACTCAGTGGCTGTGTTTATGGATATTAAACAAGCTTTTGATAGAGTGTGGCATGATGGTCTCCTCTGCAAATTGAAAGGCATGCTAACTCCTCAATTGTTTCAACTCATCGAAAGCTTTCTAAGGGACAGAAGCTTCAGAGTTGCTGTTGATGGAGTGAAATCCACGAGGCGCTCAATTTGTGCAGGAGTGCCCCAAGGCAGTGTTCTCGGTCCTACCCTGTATACATTATTTACTGCTGATATGCCTGCACCGCAAGAGATCATTGGAGTATACGAGGATGACGCACTAATAGCTACTTACGCAGACGACACTGCGGTGCTTACCAGAAGCAGAGATATCGATGTAGCTTCGGAAGCCTTACAGCAGTATGTAAGTAGTTTCGAGAAGTGGGCTCTGAATTGGAACATTGGTATCAACGCCAGCAAGTGTGCGAATGTCACATTTACAACAAGGCCGTCGTCATGCGGAGATATCACAATGTTGGGGTGCACGCTCAGTCATACAAATTCGCACAAATATCTTGGTGTAATTCTGGACAGAAGACTCAACTTCAGCAAGCATACAACAATGGTCAAGCGATCGGTCATGGCGAAAGCCGGAAAGATGGCATGGCTGCTTGCACCATGCAACAAGCTGTCCCTGCACAGTAAGGTGACAGTATATAAGTCCATATTAAGTCCAATATGGAAGTATGCGCTACCAATTTATGGCATTGCCGCTGCTTCAAACCTAAACAAAATAAGAGTTGCGCAAGCTAAAATACTCAGAAAAATATGCAACGCTCCCTGGTATATGCGCACTAGGGACATCGAAAGAGACTTATGTGTCCCCAAGGTTGGCGATGTCATTCAAATGCACGCAAGCAATTACGAGAAGCGACTCGGCAGTCACCCCAACGCACTAGCGAGGCGGCTCCTGTCCAAACCTAAGAAGAGAAGACTGAAGAAGTGCCATCCAAAGGATCTCCCCACAAGAGCCCTTGTATAAAATACATAGTATATATCATAAAATATAATCATTTTTCATGTAAAACATTGTAAATATTGTATATATGTACATAGATATAAGTGCGTCCTATAGATGCTTACTATAGACAACTTTTGTATTCCCTAACTTTCAACTAGCTTAAGCTGCCATATTGGTAGTAGAAAACTAGTTTAATAAATTGTATATATGTATAAAAAAAAAAAAAAAAAAAAAAAAAAGTTTAGAAGTTAAAATGAAATATTTGACAATTACAATTTGTTACTTTGTCTCTTTCTGGCCCTAATCTTGTTAAAAGAAAGCTAAAAATAAAAGTATAGTAGAGTTCCATTTACAATTGTTTTAAAACTTCCTTCAATTTTTGGGATGTAACGTAACTTTTTCGTGCCTATCAACATTACGATGTCATCTCTAGCACGAATCAATACAAAATTGGAAGCGCCTGGAAGCGGAGTGCAATTTACTGCCTGACTGGATATGAATACATGAATGCAATGCGAGTTCGACTCATACATGCCCTGCACCCCACTCCCAGAACAACAACAAAATTTATAAAAATGTTTAAAAATTAGATAAAGCAAAATAAATAGGAAGAGATAAATGTTTATACATAATTTCAATATCATAAATTAACATTTGGATTATAGTACGGTACAGAGATTAAAGATTGCCGTTTTTGTTATGCTGATCAAGAATAAATATAGGGTCTACCAGGTCTCGATTTAGATGTTACCACAACTAAACGATTCCATGATACCCTTTTACCCGTTGGGCACAGGGTATAAAAAATTGACAGGTCCTCAAGGGTTGAATAATTCATAAGTGAAGTGAGAAAGTCAAACAGTAGTCTGCAAGTCCTACTGAATGGCAGTTGGGCCAGGTCGTTCATTGCTCATCTACTCACCTCTTGCCTTTGAACGCTAACAAGTACTTCTTATTGGCGGGAAAATTATTCGATTGAACGGCTCCGGTGGCACCCGCGCGCAATGGGAATTGCTTGTGGAATAGCGGAATACTAACATCAAAGCCGGCACGCATCTGGAGCACACTCATGCTAGCCTTGGCTAGAATAGCCTCCCCGGCATCGAAGCCCAGAGAGTTCTCAGCGTAGTCCGGCCAAGTACCCGAGTATAAGTTAAAGATTATGTGATTGCGTCCATTATTCCAGTAGGGTAAACGCGCTAGGCGAGAGGGCACATTGCGCACATAGTCCTCGGACAGCGAGTCACGATCTAATGTATCTATGCCTAGTACAAAGAGACAGGCTGCGGCGGGGTCGCTGGTGTGATAGCGCGACTCTTGTATGGCAGTGAGAATCTTTTGATAATTAGCTGAGGTAGGCGGTGCTGCGCCCAGCGAATTTAGCGGCTCTGGGGGGTACACGTAAACCAGGAACTGATCATAGCATTTCGTGAAATCAAAACAGGTTTCCATGCGGCAGGCGACCGTACGCTTGACTGTTGCATTCGTTTTATTGGATAGGGGCTGTAGCTCATGGCTTCCCAAATAGTTAGGCAACTGAGCGTAGGGTTGTACACCCCCATCCTTTGCGGATTCGTGCTGTGCCCGACGTGGTCGGTGCGGCGCCCCTTTCAGGCGGTACCCACCAAAGTAGCAATATGCGAGAAACGCACACGAGACGAAGACAAGTATGTAGCGTTTTTTGGCCTGCATTTTGATAGTTGATGACGATGCTCCTGCTGTTGTTGTTGTTGTTACTGCTACTACTTTTTGTGGTAGTGGTGGTATGGACTGTGGTGCTGTTTAGTGGTGCACTGTGGATTTTAATTTGGTTTTGTTGGTTAGGTGATAAAGGTGGCTTAGGGTTAGTCAATTGTCGTTGTTAGGCCACACAATTGCATCTTCGGCTGCGCTGCTGCTGCTTGTTGTCGTTGTTGTAGTTGCTACACTGACCGCAGCAGCGCCTCTGCCTCTGCTCTTTGTTGTTATCTTGTGCGCCCCAGCGCGCTTTCTTAGCATTTCACTTAACAAAACGTGCACTTGTTAAACACATGGCTACTTTTTGAGCACAACAACACCAACACAATTTGTGACAATTTATAAAAAATTGCATATTTTGCTTTTCTTGTTTCACTCGCGGCGACGATGAGGACGGCGGCAGCGGCGGCGCTTTGATATGTTATGGCTGGACGGCAGCGCTGCAGCCTCTAGCGCGTCGCGGGGAATGGCATTGCACAACTTACTGCACGTTAGCACTTAATTTAATATAAGTAATTTGTTTCATAAACAAAAACGCGTCGCAACCCACGGGAACGCAACATTTCAACTTGTAAAAATCAGACGGTGACTGCGGCGAGCGCTGCGTGCGAGCGCGAGAGCCAGCAAGAGCAAGTGAGCGAGCGAGCTGTCAAAACAAAAGCAGCAAGCCAGGGTTGCCAGTGCGGTGCAGGAAGGCGGCACTCGTTTTTGCTTTAAATTGATTGATAAAAACATAAATATAAAAATTAGCTATGTATATTTATTTTTTCCACACATATAATACATTTTATTATTTCACTAGTAGATAAAAGTTCTTTAGCAATTTAATATACTATGCCTTTGCGCGTTTATTATGATATGATTTAAGATGTTGCCCATTGGGAGCGCGCGTTTGCTACGAGGCGTTGTGATAGCTCCGCTGGTACTGTCGCAACACAGTGCGATTATCCTGTGGCACAAGTCATGCTGGAAAAACATTGTTCAACTCCTGGAAAGCGTTGACATGCGCAGTGCGACGCTTCATTGTGCGCTCGCATCAGGTGGCAACGCTGCATGCTCTTTTCGAAAGAGTCAGATGATTTACATGCATCCATGGAGGTAGTTAAATTCAAATGCACTTGCATTGGCATTTTTAATTGATTGCGTTGCACCCCCTAACATCCGTACTCGCACTCAGATTTATACCATTGTGTTTCCCTCGAGCGTAATGTGTGTTCCAAATGTAATTACCACTACAGCAACAACAACAAAAAAAAAACAACAACAAAAGTAAAAGCAACACAACTGCAATTGCAATGCGTGCGGCCCATTGAACTGCCGCCGCTCGTCATTATAACCATGTATAATTATTGTTTGGCCAAAATTAATTACATTTTAAGAAAAAAGCACGCGCCATGATTTAAGTGCCGATTTCATATAAATATTTAATTACGCATTTGAGATTTGCATGCTGTCCAGGTTGCTCAGCCAGGCCACATCCTTCATTTGTTTGTTTGCCCATAAAATATTGTTATTAATTATTTGACTGTACATACAAACAAATTATGTACGAGTGCTTTACAGCAAGCGGCTTCATTTCCGCAAACCCCCAATGCGAAAAGTAATTATAAACAAACGTGCGCCAAAAGGTCATCATCAGCAGAAACAAAACCCCAAATATTTAGCCTGCACATCCGTCTTCCGTCCTTTTATCGTCCGCGTTTGTTTGGCCGCGTAATTTCCTGTCACAAACGCGTTTAGGCTGGAATTTCAATTATGCGCAGGAACGCCGGTCGACGTCGCCGCTTTGGGGTCTGTGCACAATTATGATGTGTACCCTTAGATAAACAGAGCAAAGTTGTCCGCACAAAAATGCACCAAAATATGTTTTGTGCACAAATATGCGAGGCAGCTGGCAAATGGAGTTGGGCATGGCTGTTCCTTCAATTCGCATTGAAATCAAATCAGCCAAGCAAGCCAATAAAAAGCAACTGATGGCTGAGGAGAAGCCTTGAAGTATGCTATCATATATGTCAAGCCAAAACAAATTGCAAATGCTGGAAGCAGAGTGACGTTGTGTCTGTGTGTGTGGGTCTGTCTATGTGTATAGAATTTAATTTTGTCGTCATCGTCGACGGTATTTGAGCTGAGACACGCGCACCCGACAAACAAATCTGTGTTGCGAACAGAAACAAAAACTGAACAATGCCAAGAGGAACAATTAAAAACGATCCAACGTAAACATTAGGAATTTAATCCATTAACTTTCAAAATGAAAAACTGTGTTTCAGTATATATATGTAAGTATATTAAAAATGATGTTACAGTGGATCAAGCCCATCAGTGTCATGCCCTTTGTGTGTAGCCAAAAAAAAAAAAAAAAAAACTCCCACCGCTACAATATAAACGTGTTATAAATCGTATAGGCGAAGCAGAGAGAAGCAAAACGAAACCGCCGACTTGAATGAAAAATCTGATTCTGCCTGGGTTGGTATAATTTAATAAAATTAAATAAAACATCATTATTTAATGAGTAAATAGAATCCCAAAATGAGTTAAAAGTGATAGTTTACTTGTGGAAATCGGAGATGGATTTGTCGTCATTTATGTTGGCTGGGTGGACATGTGCATGTGTGCATGCAGAGAAGATGGCACTGGCATTACCCTGTTGGCAAGGCCATGCATTTCGTTTCCGTTTCCGGCACTTCTAATTAAGTGTCAGTCGGCTGGGCCACTGCTGCTCCTGTCGCTGCCAGCCGCCTCTGTTTCCTGTTACAGCTTGCTTTGCATTTTGTATATACCAAATATTAAATTACGCCCGCGTGCAGTTTTTTCTGCTAAATCACGGCTACTTGCTTGAGCCAGCTGTCCATTCATCGAGCAACCAAGTGCTCGAGTTAATCAATCATGCTCTGTACTTGTGTATACTTATTTGGATGTGAATACACATACGAGTACATGCATATATTGACTGTACTATGTACATATGTATATAAGTGTATGTGCGCCGCAGACATCGATCTCCAGCTGCTGTTGTGCTCAACTTTGATGAATTTTGTGCTGTAGCTATGCATTCTAATGAAACCATTTCCAAAGCACTGGCCCACCTATCGATTTACCCTGACATGTTGCGCCTTGGCGCCCCAAGCGCGTTTGCCGTTACTTTGAAATCTTTGTGCAATTTCGTATTGGATAAAATCCTGAGCCAGTACAGATCACTGCATATTTAAGTATTGCTGGGAATTAAAGTTTTAGCAGCAGGCTGCAACCACAAACAACAGCAAAAATTCATTAGTTTTTCGACAAGGATTGCAGTACAGTGAGCCAGATTGTGGACCAATATGGAAAGTGAGAAGTGCAAGCTGAAAATTTCAGGTCTCCCCTGCTCTGCTTGTTCGTATGGACTTTCCGAATGTTAAGCACTTACAAAATGTATGATGTCACTTATAGTTGATTTCATGTTTATGTTTCAATACAATTAACAACTTATAGTGTAATCTATTTGAAAATCATATGGAATGACTTACAAGTTATATAAGTAGTTGAGTCGACCGTCTATACTTAATTTATTAAGGAATGCTGCGGGTTATTGAATCAATTTTAGTATAATATAAAATCACTTGGAGCTTTGAAAGTAGTAAGATATTACAACTATCTTTGCATATAAAAATAATTGAGCAAATATAATTGTTTTTTTTTATACATATATACATATACATATGGGTAGTAAACTCTATTAGGAGATAGTCTGGTAATATAGCAACTAGAATTCTTTGACAAGCTTTAAGTATCAAATCAAAATCACTTCCATAATAATTTATCATATCTTAAGATATTAAAAATTTTAAAAACTTGACTCCGTTCAGACAAAAAAAGAGAAAGCCTATGATCAAAAAACAGAGAAACCACTGTATGTACCACCCTGTAAGTAACACACAGGTGGCATGGCAGACCACCCCAAAATATATTATTGGTCAGTATAGCGAATCGAGTCGATATACTCATTGTATAATAAGTCCCATTCCCAAATGGCAAATTTCTTAAGAAAGTTATAGTCATAAATGTAATCTTGCGCTGCCGGCAGGTGTTCCTGTTGCTGGTGTTGGTTCAAATCTGCTTCCACACCTAAACATAAGCACAAGCCCGTTGAAATGAATGCGCATGAATAAGTAGTTAAATAAATGTATGTACGTAAGTGTTAAATAATATTGGTTTAATTAATTGTAATTAATACCTCTGTACCCGGGGGAACAAGAGTTGACTAGCAGTTTTTTGTGTTTCGAATGTCTATGTAGACTTACTATAGTCGATAATATGTGGAGCGCCTGTTGTGTTTGGGTGAACTCTTTAAAAGTCGCTGCAGAAGCTGTAATGCAATGTCTATGCAGTCAACTGGCAAGCCGCACACACAACTACAGACGCAGGTGCCATATCTTGTCAGCTAGTGAGGTGGCTGAAGTGACATGACAGCCATCTAGGAACGTGCCAAGGATAAGCCTGGGGGCGGCTGCCTGTCGGCTGGCATTGAATCTGACACGAAGTTTGTCTGAGTTGCTGCTGGTCGTGCTATGTTTTAAATACAAATGATTACTCTGCGGCAAAGGCAGCAGCTATGTACATAGGTGCCAACTAAATCCAATCAACACTGCGTATGCGTAATATTGAGACGAACACAGAAGTTTTATTGTCGGACAGCAAAAACTTGGGGGCATATTTCCGACTTTTCAGCTTGCCATGCTAACGACTACTCTGTGAACGTACGTGTGAGTATGTGTGTGTGTGTGTGCTTGCTTGTGCATGTATTGGGGGAGCAGCTAAATTAGATTTGTAAACATCAAAGCAAAATCTTTGCTTTTTGCAAGCAGCAAGCAACAACAACAATAAGGCACGCAAACGACACTCAAGGCACGTTGCCGAAGTGGCAGCAACAGAAACAACAAAAGTCGCCAATCAAAGCAGAAAAAAAACATGTTGTATGGGCGTGTGGCTGTCTGAGTGTGAGGTCGTTCCTAGGGCAGCGATGCCAGCCCAGCGCTTCTTCTGGCGGATGTAAACCTTTGTACTAGCTATAGTATATCCATCAAGTAGACATGAAACATTTGTCTGATCATCTGGGCATGAATTCGATGCAGTTCGCGTTGGTGCTTCCAAAAGCATATTGTTCGATTTTAACCCAAAAGATGAAGTAAACTAAAAATTAATAAACAAGACTTACTGCTTCCATTTTATTAATCAAAGTTCAATATTTCGCATCTTTGCGCATAATTTCCAACTGAAATTCTATTCTTTCCGCCGGTCTGATAACTCTCATAATATTTTATTTAATATCATCCTAAGGATCTTGGAAAGTGAAACATCTATGCTGGAATATAAGTCCATAAGTCCAAATAAGGGCGAGTTCATGATTTTTTTGCCCATGCGACCCCACTCCCCGACTTAAAGATTATATTTATAACTTCATTAAATTTAGTATTTTCATAAATATTAAATTACATTTTATTCGCGTTTCATTCT